CTAATTTTCAATATTATAAAATTAATATCTAAATTGAGAACAATGTACACATTGAGAACTGTATGTACAAAACGAGAAACGTCTCATTACAACAATATTAACATACAGTTAATTTAAATATTAACTAACATTAATTATAATTTTTAATGTAAATAATATATTATAAATTCAGAATATAAATTATGTATTGTATACATATATCACTATATGTCATTAATAAACAATTTTATACTTACGTTACTCTATAGTTATATTATTGATAATATGCAACAATATAACAATGGATTTTACGTATTTATGGCAAAGCCGGAAATGCAATTTGCATCAAGATTCACAGGCTAGCTATAACTTATTTCATTTGTCTTTTAAACATTTTAGCATATGTAACTATACTCTCCCCTATTAGCTTATATTTATTTCTTTTTGTTTATTGATTGCTTTATTTATGTACTGAATCAGTACACAAAATGTTGCCCACTTATTTTGAGACGCCATGTATATTCTGTTCTGTTCATCGCTTTTTCACCGCTAGGGATTGAACTTTGTTTACAAACTCTGCTCATTCATGCGTTTCCATTCATTCTTTTTTTCCCCTATAATTACTCTATCCAAGCCATTATAAACTACTTATTGCATGCTTCTCTAATAGCTTGTGTGACACAGTGCACAATGTGAAAAAATAGTCATACATGTGTAATTAGAATAGAAAGGAATAGTTAACGCTTTGTGGACAAGTGTTTTCTAGAATCGTAAAAATAGTTTCTTATGAGAACTAGATCTTACAACAACAACAAATTGACTGGATAATACGCAGTTTTTAAGTCTTGGACTATATATATAAACGACTAGAATTTCTTTTAAATGATAGTGAGACTAGTCTACTAGACAAGTACTACATGCTTTTTTTAAATTTTGCTATTACTTGGAATGACAAAAAAAAATAAAAAACTCATGTTTTTTAACTTTTTTATCTGAGCCTGTAACGAAAATTTAAAAGATGCGTTTTGTAAATCCTAGTGGCTTGTATGCGTACTAAAAATTTCATCGAAATCTGTTGATCTTGAAATAAACTGTAAATAATTAAAGATCGCAAAAATCACAGTGTGAAAAATCTGCAGTTTTTAAAATCTTTTTACGCTTGTAACTAAATTTTCAGTACGTATATAAATTATCAGGATTTACAAAATGCATTTTTTAAATTTTCATAATAGACTCAGATGAAAAAGTTAAAAAACAAGAGTTTATTTTTTTGATTATTCCAAGTAATAGCAAAATTAAAAAAGCACTATAGTCGTTGTCTATTAGACTAGTTCCACTATCATTTAAAAAAAATCTAGTCGTTTAGTCCAAGATTTAAAGAAGATATTGCGTTTTAAAAAGTCAATTTTGTCCGATATTTTATTTAGTAAGCAATTACATTACTTGTTTACAATGTCAATATTTAGATATAATAAATTACTACACCTGCTACCTGTTTCTTATTTGTGTGTGTGAGAAACTGTACTTGAAATTTGAATTAACGTAGAACTATTTCTATGTCGTAGTGTACACAGAATGGATAGGATAATTGGAATGAACTTGGCAATATATCATCAAATAAGTATGTTTCAGATCACAAATGTTTATTCTGTACGTTTTGTGATGGTTACAAAATGCATAAAATTTAATTTTTTATGATTTATTGATACCTAGCTAATTTTTGGTGATCTCCTTTTGCAGAGTGAAAATATGATTTGTAATGCTGTAACGTGACGAAAGTAAAAATTGATGAATTGTTAAAACATTTAATAATACATAAATTCGTAATAATTTTCTATACATACTGGGTTTCACTATTATTTCTATCTGTATCCGTATCCGACTCAGTCTCCTCTTCATCTGGTAAAATGATACCAGTTAAATGTTGTGGTATCGTTTCCTTTTTGTACATGTCATCATCATTACATAACTGTAATGCCCTTTTCGACGGTTGCCAGTTAGCACACGTTTTTTTTGTACTCTTTAAATCTAATTTCAGTCTAGTTAATGAACTTATCGTTTTACATCTTAACTTATTTCTCTTATCAGTTTTTATTTTGCTTATCATGGAGAAAAATCTCTCAACTTCAGCATTAGAGTGGGGTAACGCTAAGCATAACTGTACGACTTTCATAATGTTGGGGAATCTACATTGACCTAGTGGATTTTTAATTTGACTTATTTTCTTCCAGAAGTCACAAATGTTTAATTTTGCAATTTCAATTGTCTCGTTGGGTTCAAAATATACAGCAATTTCACGCCATTCTAAATGTACATTATGGTTATCGAATTTCGAAGGAAATTTTTGCAAAATATGATTCAATTGGTCTTTGTGCATGCGAATATCTAATGTAACTGTAGGATTTAGAAAGTCTAAAGCATTTAAAAATTCTTCATCGAAGGGCAGTCTTGCAGTTGCAGCTTCATATGCAGTTTGATAAAATTTTTGTATATTTTGATAAAATTGTTTCATGTCATCATCGCTTACATCATTGGTACTCTTGACTTCCTCCATCGCTGCTTCAGCATCTGCATGAAGAAGTATTTCTTCGACAGGCATTAAGTTCTTATTGTCATAAATATCAATAGCATGTAAATGTTGTGCTGTATTAATGCACTCGTACGTCAAAAATGATGATCCTAAAAATTTTAAAAACTTATTTAGCTTATGGGATAAAAGATGTATCATTACATCATTGCTTTGGAAGAGGAGATTATACTTATTCATTACTCCAAGTATATACTTTAAAAATTCTAAATATACTTTTGTTAATCTGTTATTTAATATTTTAAAAACGTAGGTAACTGATTCCGTGTTATCTGTCACGAAAGCGTCCAAGAAAAATTGTACTAACGCTGGGAACTGCATTAAAATGATATTTATTGACTTTCTCAACATCAACCACCGGGTTGGACTGGGTTGAATTATTTTTCTCTCTCCAATATTAAAAATTTTGAAAGTTTCATTCCACATATTTTGCCTCTTGGGACTTCTGGAGAAATAATTATATATTTTATAGATAACACTGACAATTTCTGTTGGCAAACATTTCGTTGCACTGTATGCAATCAAATGCATGCAGTGGCACGTACATGGAACTATTACAACTTCACTGTTTTTGGCTAAAATCCTTGAAACAAAGGAATTGTGTTTCTCCAACATTACATTAGCGTTATCTATGCATACACCCACTAGATTTGCAATGTCTAAGTTGTTTTTTTGTAACGCATATATGAAACATTTGTATAGGTTTTCTGCATTGCTTTTTGAGATCTTGATGTAATCTAATAAATATGTTACAATTGCACCTTCATCGACATAACGGACTAAAATACACAGGTTTTTATCATTGGAAACATCTGTGCTCTCATCCACAAGAGTAGAGAAGAATTTATTTACTAAAATTTTTATGTGTTTCTCAATTATTGCTTGATTCAGTACATTTGTTATAATAGCATATATTTTAGTCCTTCTTAGGGAAACCTCTGTTAAAATTTCTGAATCCGGAAAACATGCATATAACATATCTATGAAATGATTGAACGAATTAAAGCTACGGTTATGCTCAATTATGTTCATACATAGTCTCATTTCTGCTATTCTGGCCAATACTTTTTTATTTTTATATCCACCATCCACATTATACCCTATAAATAATATTTATCACAGTTATATTACATGTCTACGTGTCTTTCATTTTAATTATTTGTATGTATAATTACTATTTTAGTTATAAACTTAATTAATGCACAGTTCGTACCTTCTGTTGAAATTAAGTGCTTTGTAATTTCTTCGTATCGACAATGTCTTTCTGAATTTCTGTGCCTTAATAGGTTGCCTCTATGTGCTGATAGAACTTTTTTACACAGTGCACATTTTGCTTTTCTAGTGTTCGCACATTTTTCAAGCCACACTTTAAATTCTGGCTCTTGAAGCCACTCATCTTGGAACTGTACTTTGCAATGTTCTCTCTTCCACTTGGTAGGAGGAGGAGTCATACTAGTACAAGAAGTACTTGTACTTGAATTTGCACCCTCTATTAATACAAAACTCATTATTATTCTAATTATAACTCTTCTGATTATGTTCATACACAAGTATTACATATTTATCTTACCTGGACATGAATCCATACTTCATGTTAAGATAGACAAAAATAACTTCCGAGGAATCAGAAAGAAAACACAAGATCAAATACACGCCGAACAATGAGAAGTACAGAAAGAAAATGACTTATAACCAAAGAATGACGCTACACTGATGACCGTTACCGTTGGTTACTGTTGCCGTTACTGGGAAAAGTAAAGAGAGATGCACATGTGCAGATGGCAGGCGCGGTAGATGAAGCTGCGCAGGCGCAGTTGCGAGTGGGGACGTCGATGTGTATTCGTACCAGAATTGCCAGTAGTGTGACCATTTGCCTACAACACAGGAGCGTCCACAGTAGGAGGTTTGTAAAGGATTTCGAGGACGTTCGGACGCGAGGGATGTTTTATGTGCAGGCAAATGGTCACACTAGTTGCCAGTAGTGATGAACGATGTTGCATCGATTCTTAGATGTAATCGATGCTTTATACTGTTGTTTTCACTCGATGTTTTAAGATATCGATTAATCAAGGAATTGATGTTTTCTTAGATCGATGTTGAGATTGTAGTTTGCGGCACTAGTGCATACTTCTTACCATTTTGTTTTAAGGTAATATTTCGTGAGCAGCAAGAAACAGTAGCAAATTCCTGTTCTGCTCGGAAAATAGTTTTATTTTGTAACTATTTATATTCTTCAGTCACAATAGCGAGAATCTGTTGCCGACGTTTTCTGCCTATGAAATATTAATTTATACTTTTGTGTACAAAAATGCAACTTTTTGATCACGCTAACACGATAGTGCAAGAGTTGTATCACTGTAAGTAGTAGCAGATCGTGTGAGCGATATTTCTCACTCCCTGCCACTTGAATATGTTTATATGTATATTCAGGAAAAATACACAATAGTCAGTTACATTATATTTGTAATATTGCAAAATTTGTAATAAATAAAAACAGTAAAATCTTTGTATAAATGTTAACAATTGATCCAGCATATGCCCTGCACGTGGCTGCGTCGGGGTCGGTCTTCCGAGGGTTAAAGTTTCCCTGTTTTCATCTTATAATATAAATGTAAAACGACAATTGTTGTTACGTTTATAAGAAAAAGAATATTGTCTTTCAAATTAATTTAAGAAGAAAAAAAGATTTTATTGTACTTTTTAGTGACAAAATAAACCTCATCTGCTACTATGATTTTTACAAAATTTACTAGTATACTGGAGTCATGATCAGTGTTCGTAGAAAAATAAGTCAGATGTAATTTATTATCGTTTATATAATTTTTTGTACACGATTCGATGCACCTCGGAATTCTGAATAAAAATGTATTAACATATTTATGTCGAAAAACTATTACTTTGGGAGATATTGTAATTTTAATATTGCAACGCAATTTGGCAATATGACTGTATTGTTAGTAGCAATTTATTCATAATTTTCGATTGAATAGAACAGAACAAGTTGCACATAATCTATTAATCCGATTTGACCCTGTAAACCACCCTTGTGGTGGGGGTAAGGATTTGAAAATTTGCCTGAGAGTTTTCGCGATCAGTGATCTATCTTTGTAATAAATCTCATGAGAGATTTCCTAAAATAAGAAAAAAATAAGTGGTTCGGAGTGAAATTAAGTGGATCGGAAGATCTAAGCCTACGCAAGGTCTCATAGATTCCGTTTGCGAATCTTGGAGTTTCTTCGGGAAAGAGCAGAGCCGTTTCAATGATGTCGGTCGGAATCGATACAATTTCGCTTCTCTTTCTCTGTTTGATGGTAATCTCGTTACCAAAACAAAAGGTTAAATGCGGAATGTTGTTCGAGGCGAACGACCATAACCTTTGTGGTAAGCCCGGGGTAGAGGCTAGTTGACTGGTAGGCAATCGGATAGGCAAGGCAAGCAGGCAAATCGACCGGCTGACTGACACATTCGTCTGGAGGTTATGTTAACGTGATTAACGCATAACAACGTAACGCCTAGCGACACAATGAAATATATTGGAAATGGGTAGATAAATAAAAGTAAAACGCAGTGAATTAAACTTATCCCTTATAGTTTATTAATTTGATGTACGAGGAAGGACCGTCTTTACTCTCCTGATTGCTCCAGGAGACTGAAGACTATTCACAAAGACGAAACCAAAAACATCACCTAAAGACAAAGAGCACTCTGTTCTATATACATATGAAATCATTGTTTATCTAATGGTACTCTGGCGAGACTCTCGGCGTCGATTCGTTTTTGTAACTTATATGCTAGAAGGAAAAACTTCTGAGTATT